CATTTAGTAACTATAGTTGTTCGCTATGTCGCTAGGATATTATGTCTATTGAATCAATTTCTACACTAGTTCTGTTATTCTGCGGGATTAGAGTTTGGAATATGAACACACGCGCACGGAAACTTAGAATTCAAATTAAGATTATGAATCAAGCTCAACCAATCAGGACGTGACAATTGACAATAAAACATATATTTGACGGCAACCTCTGTGTCGTCTGCCCACGCACGAGCCTTTTGAATAGATTGTCACCGCGGAGTGTTAAAATTTTAAGATATGGTTAGACTGGTGACTGGTCATTATACTATTTTGCAAATTTATGTTGCCGATACAAGAGAATTAGAAAGACTGTTAATTCAGACAAAGAGCTAAGGGATATGAATTGAGATTCCGCAGTAAGATGAAGCGATGGCCACCAGGTAAATCATACAGCAGTTCTATTTATTATGTATTGTGTATTGCGTGAATTATGAAATAGTATTTTATTCATGTTGCAAACTTAATGCGCGCAATTTGCAGAAGTAATGCGACAACTGTAGTGTAGATCATTTGCGGTTTGCACCGATATTAATCATAGTGTACCGCAGTTACTCAATTACAATGAATATACAATACATATCATGTTAGCTCTATTATTTTCTTAATAGACCTTCACTAACGTTTTTCTCTAAAGACTTGAATTGCACTGATTTTATATCAAATTTCATTCGTTGTGGAGTGTGTATATAGGCCCTCCGAATGCATTACACTTCATTTAATTAAGTGATTTAACTATAGTAAATTATCTCTGGCATAAGTCTATTTTCAACGCGTCGATACGTTATCTTACTGCAGCTTTTAGCGCAGAAGTATTGTGAGTATCCAATTCCGGTATACATTCATGCTGTGCATGCATGAAGATAGCTATATGTACATTATATAGCTACATATCACAGTCTCGTAAAGATACAAGCATGGGCTGTGTAACCGATAATAAACTGACGATTTTTGCGGATAACATGTAGCGCGGCATTATATTCAGTTTATTTACCATACCGCCAAACGAATGTTCTACAAGTGTTTATATCGCGTCTTGTCGTGCGCAATACTAAGCCGAAATTAATGAAGCTATATATGTTTTCCATAATCCAAAGCTGCAGACAAGTAAATCTTTGAAAACTATTGCCAACGATATCTGAAAGTAAAATACGCTACCAGGCAGACAGTTTATGTGGTATTCATAAAGACTAGGCTTGTATTTCGCTATAATTTCAGGTGTTTGCCATGCAAAGACTCGTCAATCGCCATATAGTAGTTCGCATTGCAAGTATTCATAACGTTACTCTGTTTGAATTTGCTGATGAGAAATCGGTTGATTATGCGCACCCATGCTCCAAGGATTTGGGCCATTTGGCATGAAGACCAACTCATCACAATTGTACTGATCTAATATGTGCTTTGACCAATTAACCGCAAAACATTATTGTCGTTTCATTAGTTTCTTGACCCATTGTACTCTCAGCCATATTTTGCACTTCTAACCTTTTTTTTTCTAGGCCAGATAAGTAAATATAGCAGCTCGTGAAGCCTCCTCCGCAGGCATCGCCTTTAGATTGGCGGGCAAAATTTACTTGCAGGCAAAACAAATTGTAAAGTATGTGAACCACGAGATGTCTGCGGAGGAGGCTACAGCAAAACATATGAGTGTCTGAATTTCAGACACTCTTATATGATCTTATCTAATTCTATTGCGAGTTATATGGGTGTCTGAAATTCAGACACTCTTATATTCTATTGCGAGTTATATGGGTGTCTGAATTTCAGACACTCTTATATTCTATTGCGAGTTATATGCCTGTCTGAAATTCAGACACCCATATAACTCGCGCGCAATATAATATAAAAGTGTCCGAAATTCGGACACCCGTATAGTGTGTCTGAATTTCAGACACTCATATAACTCGCAATAGAATATAAGGCTCTATTGCGAGCTATATGGGTGTTTGAATTTCAGACACTCATATAACTATATCTTGCATGATCGTTTATTCAATTTCCAGCGATAGAGGAGTCTGAAATTAAGACACCCCTATATATTACACCAGTTATTCTATTGCACATGCATTTTAGCAGACAGTTCATTTTTTTTGTTTAAAAGTTTGGTATTGTGCGGTAAAATGAACACTTATCAGAATATTCGGCGAAAATTAGCTAAAAACATTAAAAATAAGCTTTTTTCTACCAATTCCTTCGATTTTAATTGATTTTGGAAGTAGACTGAACACACTCAGCACAAATTATAGAAAAATAACAAAAATGTAAGCCAGAAGAATTGCTGTCAGCGAAAATCAAGATTATATATCAATACAATTTCGACACAAGTTCGCAGGAAATCGCCTTTTTCTTTGAAATTTGGGGCAAAATTACGTTGACTTGGCAATTATACCGTATTTTGGCAGAAAAATGAGAAATTTCCGCAAAATATTGCAAATTTGAGTCAAAATTCGAAGTTTGGAATTGTTCAAAATTCTTTGGAACGCGTTAATTCTTCAATATTGAGTACTGCCACACGAAGAGCGTCTTGTCTGCCTTGGAGACTATAGTAGTGCATGGGCAACACAGAAAATGGCATACAACTGCCAATGAGGGTCACAGCCCTCTTCAATGACTTGTCATGACTCATGAATATTAGTACTACAGTAATTTTACACTTTTTGAGAGTTATGTTGACATATGCTAACCCAAGTTAATGTTATTGATGGAATGTGTGTATTGTCTCACATCTCACCGAACTGTGGTAATGTATTAGAAATTATTCGTATTGCGTTCATGTTAACAACCGCGCCTGCTATTGCTATCACAAGTTGATCGTACGATGGCCGAGAAGGGCCATGACTGTAAACACTCGCCGTTTTTTTTACCATTACACTCGTCGTTTTTTTCCCTTCAAAATTACACTCGCCGTTTTTTCTTCAGAATTACACGCGACGTTTTTTTCAGTTATAATGCAATAATTACACGCGACGTTTTTTCAATGCAATATTTACACGCGACGTTTTTTTTAATGCAATAATTAATACACGCGACGTTTTTTCCAAAAATTACACTCGCCGTTTTTTTTAGAGTTACGTTTTAAACTGAGGGTTTCAATTCGGACGAAGATGGGAGCAATCATTTAAGGTTATGTGTGTTTCATCAAAACTAAAAGTCATGTAAATACATGCAGTACAAAATTTCACTTTTCAGTCAGTTAATTATGAATATATACTGTAATGCATTGTTTTCTTTTGTGTTTTCCAAACTATATAAACAAAAGCGCTAGCATTGTGTGTTTTGACTAAAACAATGCATTAATCATTGATTCATAACCGACTGAAAGTTAAATTTCATGGCCAGAAATCACGGACATGTATGATCGATTCTACCTTACTAATTTTGTATATCCGATTTAATACATAAACCCGTTGAAATATGGCTTCGATAGTAAACAGTTGATTCTATTACGCGATGCTTCGAATCGCAAAATCAGAGATTATTGGTAGTCCTTTGCAGTTTGCCTCGATTGCTGGTTGCAGAACACGGTATATATCGTGTAGTGTTTGCCTGGTGTAAGTTACTGCCTATTCTGCATTTTTGTTTGTTTCTAGTGGCTATAGACAGTGCGGTATCCTTTATATATATATAAAATATAAATAGACAAATGCCGTACAAACTAACCTCTGTACAAAAACTGAAAATGCAGAATGGTCACTAACTAAAACCAAGTGGCAAAATTACGCTAAATACTTCGACGTACAGACTTGATTTATAGCCAGCGACTGAAGCAAGCTACAAACGACCCATACCATATTCTCGGATTTTGGGATTTACAGCATCGCGTAATCAATAATTTACTGTTTACTGCAGAAGCCACATTTCAACGTGATATGCAAATTTGATTTCTGGCCATGTGTACTGTATTTACATGAGTTTTAGTTTTGATGAAACACGCATAACCTTAAATGATTGCTCCCATCTTCGTCCGAAGTGAAACCCTCAGTTTAAAACGTAACTCTAAAAAAACGGCGAGTGTAATTTTTGGAAAAAACGTCGCGTGTAATTATTGCATTGAAAAAACGTCGCGTGTAATCTAGTTGGATTGAAAAAACGTCGCGTGTAATTATTGCATCATAACTGAAAAAAACGTCGCGTGTAATACTCATGCAAGAAAAAAACGGCGAGTGTAATTTTGAAGGAAAAAAACGACGAGTGTGATGGTAAAAAAACGACGAGTGTTTACAGTCATGGCCCTTCTCGGCCATCGTATGATCGCTCTTTAAAATTAGAATTGTAAACTTTCGGAGCTATGTGGCATATATGTACGAATCTTTTGATGGTTCCCACATTTCGGTGAGGTCCATAATACTGACTACTGTGCATGTATATTGTAATTTTAGTTATAGTATTGTGTTTATAATACAGAAATTGGAACATTATTTATCTCAACTTATATTATGGTAATTCATTCCAATCTTGATCTGTTGGAGAAATTGTAATAATTTAATCAAGACCAAATAAACCCCGGCCAATATTTTTGCCTGATTCATTATATACATGTAGAATACGTCTACATGCAAGAGTGCAACCAAATCCACATGACTTTAAATGCTATATAAAACGGCACCACCACTCGGCACCAGAAAGCTATATCAACTCGATCGGTTCTAAAGCACCTCTTCATTGGGGCTAAGACTGCTCTTCTCTGAAAGGGCCAGAACAGCTCCGGTTAACAAAGTAGGGGTTAAATTGGCTTTTCTTTTGGATCTATAATGGCTCTGAAATTGGACCAAATTGACCCTTTGGGTGCTACAAACAACACCATGAAAAAAGCTATATTAGCTCCTTCGGCTCTAAAGCAGCTCTTCTTTGGTGCTGAAACTGTGCTCTTCTGAGAGGGCCAAAATAGCTCTGGTTAAAAAAGTAGGGGTTAAATTGGCCTTTCTTGTGGTCTACAATGGCTCAGAAATAGGACCATATTGGCCCTTTGGGTGCTAAAAAACTACACCATTAGAAAAGCTGTATCGGCTCCTTCGGTTCTAAAGCAGCTCTTCATTGGGGCTGAAACTACTCTGTAACTCAGTAGCCAAAACAGCTCCGGTTAACGAGCCAAATCAACGCTTTTTGGGGTTCATTATGACCACAAATGGGAGCCAAATTAACTCCTCGAAATGCCAAAATAGCCCCCTAATTTTCTGAATTGGCCCCTATTGAAAGTTGAAATAGCCCCTGCTTTTGCCATAACAGCTCCTACTAAAAGCTGAAACAGCCCTTACACTGGAAGGGCCAAATCACCCCTTAGGGGCCGCATTGTTATAGGTGCCATTTTGACCCCCAAAAAAGATCTATTTTGCGGTCACCGTTTTGGCCCCATTTGTGGGGTCGTTTCAGCCTCTATTTACAGTGTATATATCCAAGCCGCGCCTTCACAAAAGAAAGAAGATTGAGTTATATAAATAAAGAGTGCACTTGGTAAGTGTCAGAGCAAAAAGTTATGAGGAAGACACGTGTGTCACATGAAGAGTATGGAGTTGACGAGATTTGCCTTTTAAACGACAACCTTGTGAGATTATTAATTACATTTTTTATTCCATAAATTCTGATTTATTCTGGCATATTTGGGAAAGTTAGATTAATGGCGGTAACGCCATCTTTAAGTGTGCCAGAAAAATCTGTTAGTTAAATTTATATGTTGATCACCCGAAACCAGTAAAGTAAAATCATATGGTATGGTTATTGCCTCAAGCGTAGAAAATCGAAGCTTCTCTCATATAGCTAGCTCATGCACAGTAGTAAAACCTGAAACCACAAACGTGAGGCTGAGAATCTTTGGGACAGTTTTATAAGTCAGAGTAACTCAAGCAACAAAATCTTCCTACTTTGTGCTATAGTCATTAATCTTACCCTTGTCCTTTTCAATCTTGGTGGTGATATCTGATAGCAATGGCGCTTGTTCGTAGGCGTCTTTCTCCATCGAGATATGACCACCGTCGTCGATTGCTTCACCTTGATAAGGTTTGCCAGATATACGCAGTATTTCCACAATAGTGGCAAGCAGGCATATTACAACCAATAGTCCGCAGAATATACTAAACAAGATAAAGCAGATTATTATTTATTGAAAATAATTATATGATAATAAAGTCAGACAAGAAGCCATTTTGAAAGCGTGTGCGTACAAGAAACACTGCAATTTTAAAATAGTAACCGTGAACTGGCCGAAAAAAGTTTTATTTCTGAATTTTAATTAAACTGATATTTGGATTTTTTTTTACTCGACTTCGTCTCGGTGAATATTCAGCGGTAACCACTTCGCCTTCGGCGACGGCGAATAATTGTCAAATATTGAAAAACAATGTAACATGTTGTGACGTCACGCTAATTTATGCGGCTTATGCCTAAAGAATGATTGGCTTATTCGTGCTTCCGAACACTATATTATTGTTGTTCCATTGTCAGAAGCTTGGCGTCTTCTTGAGTCCGAAATATATACAAATAATTAATAAAAAATATTTAATTAAGTTCTCGCATGATATGAGGAATTATTAAGGCCTCGGTTTGTGTTATCTGTCTCAGCCCTCGGCCATAATAATTCTTCAAACACTAATTAATAATTCATAAGCTTATTGGCAAATCATGTCAACCTCAATATATCACGTGCAGTGGCTTTAAACCTGATAAAACACTCCTAATTAGCATTCTTTATATATTATTATTATTAAAATTTATGGTTTCTCCCAAAAGGGTTTTTCAGAACCCATTTACAAAATTATTTTATAAAAACTACAATTTTAAAATATTTACAGTTTCTACAAAGTTAGGAATAAAAATGACTGATATCTAAGTTTTTAATAGTCTAAAATAGGAAGTAGTCTATAGTCTAAGTAGACAGTAAGTGTTCTTTAGGTTGACTTTTGAATGTCTTAAGTGATGTACATTTCTTTAGCTCAGTGTCTAAGTTATTCCAAATTGAAGCTCCTCTAAAAGCAAATGACCGTTGCCCTGACGCTGTTTTAAACAATGGTATCTGTATTGAGTTGCAGTTCCGCGTAGACCGATTATGAATACAAGATCGTTTCTCAAACATGTCACAAAGATATTTCGGCGCTAAGTTGTTCATGCATTTAAAAGTCATTACGGCATCACGGAAATAGAGTAATTTGTCAACTGTGAGCCACTCAAGGTTTTGGAGTAATGGGCTTACATGATCGTATTTCTTGGATCCTGTGATTATTTTACATGCAAAGTTTTGAATAGATTGAAGTTTCTTTATATTAGTGCATGTTGTATTTGACCATACAGTGGAACAGTAGAGCAGTTTACTGATCACTAATGAAGTGATTATCATTGTAAGTGTTCCCTTGTCAAAATTATTTTTAACTCTGTTTATCTGGCACAGTTTATAAAGGCAGGACGACACCAGATTCGATATGTGCTTATCGTAACTTAGGTGACTGTCCATTAGAAGTCCTAGATCTTTGGCAAAATCAACAGGTTCTAGAATCTTCCCCATAAAAGAGATCGAAAGATTGACATCAAGTTCGTTCATCAGCTGCCTGGTTCCAATGATCATGAATTTTGTTTTATCTGGATTCACCAAAAGATTGTTTTCACAGCACCAAGACGCAAT